GTCAATAAAATAGGTTTTTATTGTACGTGCCAAACGTAAGTTTGATGAAAGTTAATAATATAGTAATTATCCAGCAACTAGTTAACAAAGATGCATCATGCGTTAAAATAAGTATAAATGCATGCATTATTAATATCAAACTAGAAATTAAAAATGAAGCCATGGTACGCTGGCTTGCATAACATGATATTGATTAACATAGTACGAACAATAATTTGGTGAGCATCTAGTCAAATAAGCAATTAATAATAATAATAATAATAATAATAATAATAATAATAATAATAATAATAGTAATAGTATTTAGTGAGCTAGTAGTTGTACATATAGCATATAACTATACCTATATACTAGCAATGGCAGATCTTGATTTGCCTAGTTGTTCTATAGTAAAGAAGTCATCGAATCGCATAATCTACATTTTTTCTGATATATTCAAAGGAATGCCAGCTGGGTTTGGATTTTCTACATTAGATTAATAATTTAAAACTCGAATATCAAAGATTACCAGTGGAACTATATATATTAAACATTGATGGAATGACTGAAAATCTGGTTAGAACGGTAATAAACTAATACTATATGGTGTTAGAGATATTCCGCAGAAGGGAGACCCAAGAAAAAAGGGAAGGAAACCTAGAGAATGTCTATCGGTATGTGGTCAAATGGTTATTAATAGTTTGTGACAGTGTGAAACAAGTATGTCATTATTTGTAGAAATGAAATAAAATAGGATTTATCACCATAACTATTTCCGTATAATGATTTATTATCAAGTATTTTAAAAGCCTAAAATTAATTACAAGTGTTGGCTGATGTTAATATTTGAGATAGGAACTTTAATATGAATTCATGAATAATAGTTACTCTCAAGCTATAGGTTCAAAGTAAAATGGTTCTATATCGATCGGTATGGTAAAAAAATAAATATTATTGTGTTTGAGAAGTTTGGGCTTCGGAGTAGGCAATAGGCAATTCAACCAATCTCTAATCTTTATAAGGAAAAAAAGGCACGATCTCTGTTTTTTCTTAATAAATAATAAAAAAAGAGATCTTTAAAGCATGTGATTATATGATTGAAAGGTGTAGATGAATGAAATTTATACGATAATATAGCAAATGAAAGAATAAGATATAAAAGTAAAATTTGACACAAAATATGTGCTTAAAAATATCATATTTCTTTTATTATAGTTATCGATATCACTAAATTATTGTAGTAGGTAAATAATTTAATATTTATTGTTACTATGGTATAATTTTTATTAAACTAAATGTTGGAGCGTTTTTGTAGATACTCACTTATTTTTCGTGACATTTCATATTAATTAGAGCCAAAATGAACCGAGGATATTTATGATGATTTTACCATAAGGCCTTTAACTTTGGTTGGATGCAAATTCAGTGCAACACACATACCTTATTGGTTAAATAAGTTTGATGTTCCTACATTTAAGCTCCTACAAAATGGATATTGTCTTTATAATAATTTTAACATAGAAGACAATGCAATGTAATCTTGCGTCATTACAAGTGTCAAACGTTAAATAGAAAACAAATCAATATCATGTCAACATATTTACTATCTAAACGTTAGAAAAATTATGTGAGTGTGTGATATTTGCTTAAATTTTCTGGGATGTGACAAAGATATCTCAGTCAAGAATTGAAGAGCAGTAGATTTAATTAGTAAGGAACTAACTCTATAGAGAACCTAGAGAGAACTCAAGAGTGAGAGGTGTGTCAAACAATGAGGGGGAGACTTCTATATATAGGTGAGAGAACTTGAGTGTTGTCCAAAAAAATGCAAAAAAATAAGGAGAAAAATCTATAATTCCTTGATGAAACGTATCTATTTAGAATAAAATTAATCCTTATACATTAAACACGAACTTTTATCTTGTGTAAAAGTATTTTCAGAGAATTTTCTTTAATTAGAGAGTTTTTGAAGTTTTCTTAGTTTCTTATCTAGTTTGACTTTTATTTATTATAACTATTTATAAATTAAGTTTTAATATTTTAAAAATGAATTATCAATAAATAAAAATAATATTATTCTACAATAGAAGTTATTTATCATGATTCTAAAATATAATTTATAAATTTAAAAATATTTATTTATACAAATTTTAAACACGAGTTATATATTCAAACATATTATTTATTTGAAGATATAATTTATTATAAATTTTAATTATATATAATAAATATTTAACATGTATATTACACATGCTAAAATATTAGTATATATTAATTAAAGCAGAAAAAGTAACTAAAAAAATGGTCATAAATCAAATAAGCCTTATTTTAAATCAAATAAATAAAAGTAATTGACAAAATATAAGTTTTTTAGAATTTTTTTTTATGAAAGAGTTTTAAATTTTTTTTTATAATTCAATTTTTATTTATCATAATTATTTATAAATTGAATTTTAATATTTAAAATAAATTATTAATATATAAAATAATATTATGCTAGAATTATTTATCATAAATTTAAAATATAATTTATATGTTGCTGTTAAAAATATATATAATCTACATATTTAAAAATATCTATTTTCTATAACTTAAAATATCTATTTGTACAAGTTTTTTTATTTATATATTCAAATATACCATTTATTTTATATATAATTTATTATGAATTTTGGTTATATACAAATGCTTAGGTTAAAGTACTAGTTTAATATAATAAAAAATAAAACTATTTTTAAATCCCATAATTACACATGCAACGTAACACAAATCAAAGAATTTGCACTAGAACAAACTTATAAGAGTAATTTTGTTGTGCGTGAGCTCACAACTTACTATTTTCCTCTTTAAAAATGTAAAACGCATTTGAGTATAAATACTTATATTTTATTAACTCCAAGTAACATTAGATCTCATTCTTCTGAAATAGTTCGCATATAAGACGAGGGGGGAGTTTGAAAGCATTGCTCTTGAGTCTTGAGAATTAATCTCTCAAAGTTTTGCTTGTTTTACGGCATCCTTTGATTTTGACTGCTTTCAGTTTGCTACTAGCTAGGTCTATGAACTTCCTAGAGCACATACGAAAACATCTATTGTCTTCACCTTTTTCTTAGCCAGGGAAATGTTAAAAGGGGCCTATGGCAAGAGTGCATCTTTGATAATAAGATTGAGCTTGACCCAAAGGAAGGTGTCTTAAAGTAGCATCAATTTCCTACTAAATTCTTGGAGTGTATTCTCTAGCGTAAACACATGGCATCCTTTTTATGATTTCATTATTTATATTATAATTCTATTTAATTTTATAATTTTATCTTTATATCTTAAACTTGTAATATAAATTAGTTAATTACTAAAATTCACAGCAAGTAAGTGCTTTTCCGAATCGAGATACGAAATTAAAAAAAGAAGTAACAAAATTCACGTAAACAATTTATTGACATTGTATTGCATTATTTTGTGTGTTGCCAAATCCATATTCCAAATATTATACTACAATTGAAGTTTAAATATCTACTATTTACATGTAATATTAAAATAAATAAAAAAATAGTAAAACGGAGTACAGGATCATGGGAAAGGGAAAGGAATCGTGAGTGTTGATTACAGAAGGGCCCTTTCTGTTGTGTGGTCACATGGATTCCTCTGAACTCTGGAGCTTGTCCTATGCCTGAGCTAGGCTGTTTTTTTGCTGTTCTTTATTTTCATTTTCTCCCGCATTTCTTCTGTTTATGGATCTTTCTCCGAATCTCTGAGTCATCACCAGCTTTTCGTCATCTCTCTTTTTCATGTCCCAGTACCCGACCACATTATTACCAAATGAAACTAATACTGATGCCTCATCACAATACATAATAAAATACTGTATCCATTCCATTAATATTATACTACTTATATTATTATACACCTAATAGTAACGCTAGAGTGTACGTATAGTTAAAGGGAAAAAACAAAAAGAAGAAAAAATCAGTATGTACAAGAAAAATGATGTTACTGAGATTCGAATTGAATAGAAATAGGAAGAGAAATTTTTTGGTAAAGATAGGAAAGATTACAAAGATGGTCACAATGAGGATTGAACCTAGGTCTTCATGTTTTTAACTATCTTAACCCCTCCCCACCCAACTACTAGGCTAACTATAGTGGTCTAAATAGGAAGAGAAATGAATATGAAACGGTGTTTTAGACGATATTTTTTTTATGACATTGTATATTTCATCTTATATTTTTTCATTGTAAAAGACGATATTTTTTTTATGACATTGTATATTTCATCTTATATTTTTTCATTGTAAAAGTTATCGGGAAAAATTAAGAAAAAATAACGTTATTTATTAAACTGGAACAAAGTGAATAGACCACCTTGTCCCTTTGCTTGACCAAATGTATAGATGTCGACGAAGGATATGACCGTCCTCACAGTGAAACCCTGTACTGTTCACGAATTAGGTGTCTAATGTAGTAATATAAATATAAATATACATAGCAATAACAGTTTTTCTTCCATGTCTTGGCTTGTTTGCAACAACCATTTTTTGTTGTTTCGCAAATGACATTAGAGAATTGGATTACGTGTTGTATTCAGGGATCAGCTGCATATAGTTTGATTTTTTTTTTTCCATATACAATTTAATATGGAGGAATCGCGGATAAGATTACGTTATTCACGAAAGAGATTGAAGTTTTATATTTTATATGATGCACTAACGAATAACGATTATCCATCTTCCAGCATTCCAAAATTTCATTTCCTTAAAATAAAAATAAAAAAAATCCTTAAAACGAAAATTAAGGATTTTTTTCCTTGGAAGGAAAAAAAGAAATTGGGAAGTTGTTGTGAATAATAAAAAGTAAAAACTAAAAAGAGAAGATGTTAGAAACATAGCACATTTATACAGATCGATCACAGTGACACGGCAACATTATATATATTATTTTGTTAATAGTAGTGTACTAATTATTTAGTGGACATAAAGTAATAATAGATGGGTATTATGATTGGAAAATAGAGAATAAAGAAAGCGGGCAGAGAGCAGAGAATCTGTGTGTGTATCTGTGCGTGTGTTGAGTTTACGCGATCAAGGAAGTGGTCTACAAGAAGAACAATGAAACCTCACGTGCAGGATCCTGTAGCTTTTTGTTTGTTTGAATAATGGTGTTGAAAAGGCAACGAGCTTTCTTCGTGATGCGTTGATAAAAGGGCAAGTTTGTTTGGTCCTTTGGGAATGTAATGTAGTAGTGTTTCTTCTTCCTCTCTCTTGGGCCACTACTAAATACTAATAATTAACCTCCATCACTCGCGCGAGTAATGGCACTAGAGGCTGTGGTTTTCCCACAGGATCCATTTGGATATGGTTGTAAGGACTATTTGTACTCCTTGGTTGGAGCAACAGCCAACTACGCTTTCCAAGCGCCAGAACAAGAGAAAGTGGTGTTAGGAATCATCAACAACAACAACAACAACAACAACATACAGCATCATGCAAACTGGGATTCTCATTCTCACTCCTCCCCTGAACCACCTTCTTCCTCCAGCGCCGCCGCCACCAGCACGAGCCGCCGCAAACGACGTCGCACCAAGAGCGCCAAAAACAAGGAGGAAATCGAGAACCAGAGGATGACCCACATTGCAGTGGAACGCAACCGCCGAAAACAGATGAATGAGTACTTGGCCGTGCTTCGCTCCTTGATGCCTTCTTCTTATGTTCAAAGGGTCAGTTAATGGCTAATCATTTTCATTAATTAATTAATAAAGATCCCAAATTCTAATTAATAATTATTAATTAATTTTTGTTTAAAAGCAGGGTGATCAGGCGTCTATAATTGGAGGTGCGATTAACTTTGTGAAGGAGTTGGAGCAGCTTTTGCAGTCGATGGAGGGTCAGAAGAGAAGGAAGGAGGGGCAAGTGCAGGAGGATGTTGGGCCAAATGGGTCACCCTTTGCTGAGTTTTTCACGTTTCCTCAATACACGACGCGTGGCACGCAGCTAGCAGATATTGAAGTCACCATGGTCGATAGCCATGCCAACATCAAAATCCTCTCAAAGAAACAACACGCTCACCTTATGAAGCTCGTTCTTGGTCTTCAGACTCTCAGCCTCAGTATTCTCCACCTTAATGTTACCACTCTCCACGATACGGTCCTTTACTCAATTAGCGTCAAGGTTAATACAAATAACTTCATCTTTTCTTTCTTTCTTTCTTTCTTTCTTTCTTTCTTTTTTTATTAACAAAAATGTTAATTTGTGGTTGATTAATGGAGCAGGTAGAGGAGGGGTGTCAGCTGAACACGGTGGATGAAATTGCGGGTGCAGTGAATCAACTATTACGCACAATCCAACAACTGAATTAAACTTGAAATTAGTTTTGTTTTCATTTGGAAGAGTTTCCTTTCTATATGTCCTTCTCTTGGTTGAGTATTTTGGGATATCTGTGATTGTGTCCATTGCAATTAACAATGTTGCTCTTTATTAATTACTCCACCCTCTAGCTAATATCACAAGTTGTGAAAACCGATCGACTTGAATATCCTTTTTTTAGTTCAAATTAATGCGTAAGGCTGTATGTACATCCAATTGCCTAACAAGTCTAAATGAAATACAAGTCCATTTCAATAAGCTGCTCTCGGACTCATCCTTTACATTATTATTATGCTCTACCACCTATCCTGATTTTCTCACCTTTCTTTCATGAAAATAATACAATTAAAGATTTCTCTCATCCAAAACCGACTTCTCCCACGGCCTATATGGCCCTATGCTTTAGACTACAAACAAAACAAATGTATCCTCTATGTGTAACTCTAATTTTAGCACTTGCCTAACTTTTATCACTAACATGATTGTTATCTCAATCAAGCATGCTTTATGAGTAATGACCACCCTTGTGGGTGATTTTCAACCAACATCTAAACTTTTTGTTGTACACCCTATTTCTTTTATTTCTTTTAAATTGCATTTTCTACCCCCCATGTCTTCTTTTCTTTTTATTCTTTGTCTTTTTATTTATTTATTTTATCTTTCATCCGGTTCACACCTCATAATCGTGTTAAACAAACATTATTATTTCTCAAAATAGTAAGTTGTATGCGTGGGTCCACCTCCTAAGACAAAATTAGGGATGACAACGGGCGGGTACGGGTTTCATGATACCCGTCCTCGTCCCCGCGAGCCAAACTCATCTTCGTCTCCGTACCCGTACCTGTCCGGTATGTAATTTTTATCCCCGTCTCCGTCCCTGTCGGGTATCGGGTATACCCGTACTACCCGTCAATTTTTTTATTTATTATTTTTTTTAATATATAATATTTTTAATTACTTTTTTAATTATATTATAATTATAATTAGGTTATTTCTCTATCTTATATTATAATAAATAATCACACATAAAAAAATACTAAAATTTTTTAATATAATTAAATTGAAAGTAGATATTAAATTAAAAATGGGAACGAGAACGGGTACGGGTACGGGCACGAGCGGGTAAGTATATATCTGTACCCGTACCCGTACACGTACCCGATTTAATATATCAGGTTTTACCCGTACCCGTACCCTGTCAAACCGGGTATTCCCGTCAAAGTCGGGACGGATTCGAGTATTACCCGCGGGTACGGATATATTTGTCATCCCTAAACAAAAGGAACTTTAAGAGTTCATGTTGTAATTGTTTTAATAATAATATTTTTACAAAAACTATTTAAATAAGTTTGAGATAAGAAAGAAAAAAAATTAAAAGAGCAACAAAATGAATTAATTACCGGGTTGAATGGTTATGACTTAATCAATATTTTCAAATTCGAGCCTTGATTATGTAATTATGTTAAATATAATTTTTATCATCTATAATAATTCTATTCAACTTGAGCAAAATTGTTTCTCACACAAAATACCTATAGTCTTATAAAAAGAAAAGATAAAATGTACATTCATCAAAAAGAAAAGATAAAATGTTTACTATGATAAAAAATAGAAAATATTATAATATGATATTATTTAATATATTTGGATTAATGATGTTACATTTGTTACTTTGTGAATATTTTCTGGTAAAGATTACAAAGTATCGTTTATGTGAGACTATTTTTTTGAGTCAAAATTATTAAAGCCAGGAGAAAAAAAATCCTTCAAATATTTAACATAGCTACGAGCTGAGACACTCGAAAACACTTATTGAAGTAAATAAATCTCATATAAGTTGTTTCATATGTGGTTACACTGTGAATATTAAATATTGAAGAAAAAAAACTCTTACCGTAAGAGGTATCTTTATGTTTAAAGGAAATTATTTTCTTATATAGATATTAATTCTTTAAAGTTGGAATCATCAATTACTTGTACAAAAAAATAATCAAATGACTAAAGTTTATCTCCAATCAACGATAAAGATAGGTATACTTTCGTCGCTTCTAATTAATTTGTTTTTTTTTTGTGCGTGTTATTTTTTTCTCCAAGCAATTAGAGTAATTCTTTACATAACTAAGTTTACTCCTAATGCTTTAAAAAGTTAGGATAAAAGTAGTGTTGCTCGGCTTCTCTTTGCACTTTCCACGGCACCAAAATAAAAAAATGCTATGTACCCAAAAAAATAACAATAAAGAAATGCTGCTTGAATTTATTGTTTTTAATATTCATAACAAATCAATGATTATAAATTAATGAGATTAATTATACCTTTACTTAAGTTCAATTTATATTACATTTGTTTTTCAAAACTTTCGTAATCACTATTTTTAACTTCGGAATTATTTTAAAAAAAATTGTAGATTCAGTTTTTTTTTTAAAATCAAATTTTATAATTAACCAGATCTATTTTAATATATATTTAATTATTATTTATTTACTTTTTAATCAATTATTTTAATATTATGTTTTTTTTCTTCTTTTATTTATAAGGATTAAAAAGTAAGCCAAAAGAAATTCAATAAAAAAAACACTAAAAAGAAAATAATACGAAAAGGGAAAAGATTTTACAAGATTTTTATAAGAAAATGGGTAAGAAATGGACATTATTTAAAGATATAAAAATCATTTAAATCTTTTATAAGTGGGATAATGACTTTTTTTTTGTGTGTGTGCTAATCATACCACTTTTTACATTTAATTATGTTAATCATACCCATCATTCACCTGTTGTTATTTTCAAAATAAAAGACTGAATCGTAAACATATTTCCTCATCGGCTTATTGTGATTTCGAGATAAAAGTCTTTGATGAATGACATAAAGTATGAGTAAAAGAAGAAGAAAAAATCTGGTAAAAATTCATGATTTAACTATATATATACTCATCCTTTACATTATTATT